CACGGACGGCAGGGAACTAGCGAATCCCGCGGCCGATCGTGAGCGTCCATCCACTAAAGCTCTAGGTTTGCTACCTGATCGAATATAAAAATATGTATAAATCATAGCATTCGTCGGTTTTCCCCTTTCTATCGCCTCAAGTCCTTCCGGCGCTTCTACTGGTTTGGGAAGGTTGCATTAGACAGCACTTGACCTGCCTGAAGACTGGTTATCGTAGGTTCAAAAACTGCCTTCAATGCATGGCCGAATGTATCGCACCCGGTTTTGGGCGCATTTTTAGGACCTCTAGTTAGGTTGATGGTATGAGCATTGAACGCTTGAAGCGCACTGTGTAGAACTCTTCCTCCCCCCGGCAACTAAGTCATCTTAGTTGGTTTCGTATATCTTCACGAGAAAATCGCATTCACTGCGAATTGTCACCTTCGTTACCGGGTCTGTATTATTCATTGAAACGGCCGTTCTCGGACAAATGTGACTGAAAATCGCCATTTTTAATGCTTTTACCCACACACCTCAGTATCCTTAGTCATAGATGGGGCCTTCCGTGGCGGATACCTCGCACGCGCTCATGTTTGTTATTGACTGCGACATGTCCATAGACATCTTCGGGAGTTTTCCAAGAAGTCACGAGGAGAATTGATTTAGACGACAATCTCGTCCTTACTCTACCCTTGAAGCTGCAGCTTTTGCCAATGTACTTTAAACTGGGCACCCCTCTACGCGCACCGTTTTTAGGTCGGTTAAGTCTGTATCAAGTACAAGTTATTTTATCCACCACTTCTTTAAACCAGTTGATAGATGAGCTACTACAAAATGTGCTTTCCTATCTGCATACTGGGGAGGGAATTTCGGTATGAACTTGTAGACTTCGCACTTGAACGTAAGATACTATGGACCACGAAAAACATTCAGAGGATTGACTTCCTCTTACTATTTTTACTTTTTGTGGGCTTTACGACATCACCGTAGTCGCGCTTTCAGCAACTTTCACACAATCTGACTCTCCCACATTCAGGACTTGTCTCTGAAAGCATATCACTACCAAAAGTGGGGGGGGGAGAGGATGGAAGGAATGGAGATGTTGACACCTCCTACCCAACTCTCAGCCGGATTTAGAACAAATCTATGACTGATAGGATTGTCGGCATTGACAAGGGAGACTGGAATGGCCATTTCTGGTTTATTAGCCAGTCAGTCCGTCATACTCAGACCCAAGTCTCCCTTGTCTTTGCTAGCAATACTGTCTGCCTATAATACCAGCTGCTACAGCTATCAGGGCCTCTGCGGAGTCGCAAGGCAGAGCGGTACAGATGAGTTTCGTTTGCGGTCGGGTGAACGTTCATCAACGAAATCTATGGCTGTTTGTACATAGAGGTTTATCTTTAGCTCCCTCTAGTGGCAAAGACTTTGGACCTCGAGGAGTCACCGAAACGTTAGCGGTGGTATGTGAGTGACCGGTAATTCAGTGCCAAACCATTCCTGTTTCCTGGATAACACTACCAATTATTTGAAAATTGAAAAAAATGCTAAAACTCTGCCTCCCGGATTTAGCTGAGTCCCGGCTTTCCATCTAGCCTGGAAATCCTGTGGCTGCACGGAAGTGAAGATCTGCATTTCAATTTCCTCTACACTGAGATCCTATTAATCAAAAGCTGATAGTATTTGATTTGCTGAAGATGCATTGCTGGAACGTTTTGCTCTCCTTGCACGACTAACTTGATGACACAAGGCGGTAGGATTCTTACCCACGAAGTTACTTTAAAGTTACTGGGGCGCAGTAGGTTTACCTGTCTCTTTGATAGGATTTTATCCCATCCTAACAGGATTTCCTGTGCATTAAACATTTTTCTGCATAAATTAAAAAAAAATAAACCGATATAAAGTGTGCTACGATCGTTTCTGTTCGGTAAAACTGTTCGATTCTACCCCCTCCTCCTTCTCTCTCCCCCCTACTTCTTCTACCACCACCAGTACCGACAGTACCGTGTTATATGATGTCTCTGGTCACATTTTCCCTTCCAGGCTATATTGGCGTGGTTAACAGGAGTCAGAGGGATATCGAAGGCAAAAAGGATATTGCCACTGCCCTTGCCGCTGAAAGAAAGTTTTTCCTGGGCCATCCGGCCTATCGTCATATGGCCGATCGCATGGGCACCCCCTACTTGCAAAGAGTGCTGAATCAACAGCTGACTAACCACATTAGGGACACCCTGCCCGGTCTACGCAACAAACTGCAGTCTCAGTTACTCTCAATGGAAAAAGAAGTGGAGGAGTATAAGCACCTTCGTCCTTCTGACTCGTCTTTTAAAACAAAGGCACTCCTTCTGTAAGGCCTGTTTTAAGTTTCACTTTCGACGTTGTCATTGCAGTTGGAGGTTGTATAAATAATAAAATGTGTCCTCCCTCCCCCTCATTTCCAGTGCGGTACAGAGCTTCGAGATAGAGTTCACACAGTCCATTGATGGTTCTGGCGCAGAAATAGACACGAAGACCCTTTCTGGTGGAGCTCTCATCAATCGGATCTTCCATGAGCGGTTCCCATACGCTTTGGCCGCAGTAAGTTAGCGCTGCTTTAGGATGCTTTTGTGGGCCTGTGTCAGTTCCATATGATGTCTCTTTGTAGAATTTTCTCGGACTCTTTTATAAGATCGTTGTTTTATTCCTCCACGACGTAGCATTTTATGAAGGCCTTAGTTTGACTTACAAGGACAAGAGTCTTTCGCAGGTTTGGCCTCCACAATAAAGTGATCAGACTAGCCCTCTGAACTCAAAGGGAGAATATAGGTGGTCCGGTAATACCGAAATACTGAATTCGGTAGCCCATAAAATAGTTGCCTTAGTTGCACGACGCAGCAGCTTTTACCGTCCTATTGGACAAAGTCCTTTTCAGGAGAGCCTTTGTTGGGTTGGAGTCTGCAGAATTAGAACGCAAACTTTATTTGTCCCATATTTGGGATTCTTGTTCAAATCCATCGCCGGTGTCGGCAACAGGTAGCAGCAGGTACATACCGGGCGTAGCATTTATAGGCGACGGTGTCTTCTTGGATGTGGCCGCAATATAGCAGAAACACTGTGACAAGCTGGTTAAGGGTCCGGGGCTCGGTCTTGTAGGGGTCTAAGTAGTGGGTGTACTCGGATCACTACAATCATCAGGTCGAATCCTAGGTTGGAAGGAAAAGGTAAGAGTCACCAGAATGAGGGTTTTTATTGTGTACAGTACCCTAAG